CATTTGTTTTTTGTGGGGAAAAAAAGGTAAGATAATTAATATCAATAATAAAAAATATTTTTGGTACAATAAAAATTTAATAAAACAAATTTTGAACCCAGATGATTTTCTGCTCTTGCAATCCACCGTAGAGAACTTTTCCAAGCGTCCTTAGGTTCTAATTGTTTCATATGTTTCATTTGGGTTAGATTTCCAATATCATAAGAGAACTTATATAATAGATGTCCCTTAGGTTTCACGTGGATCACTAACGACAGATTCTTGAGCGTTGATAACCTTTAAATGGACGGCAAAGATTTGTTTAAGGTCGTTGAAAATAGTGAAAAATAACACTTAACCATCCTCTTGGTTTTGGAATAAAATCGGGGGTTAGATCAATTATTATTTTTACAAAAATTGTTATATTACTTACCCAAAATATTAAAAATACATTGTATGCAACAAATCTTTGCAGAATATCAAGATTGTTTACCTAGAATATTTAAAATACAGCATGTTCAGATCTCATACAAGATGCTAGAGATTTGTTTCCCCGTAAGAATTTTTATTTTTCGTTGATATCCATCTTTTGAAAAGGTAAGCTCACATCTCCGTTTAACCTTTCAAAGGTTGAGCTCCCTTCTTTGTATAACTTGAAGAAATAATGATTTTCTGCACTTGCAATCTATCAAATGAGAAAAAATATAACAATATTTCTCCAAAAAAAATATAACACTATTTTGTGAGATAGATTACAATGGCGGAAAAAATGTTTTGTAGATAGAAGAACATTGGAAAAAAATTGTCTTGCAATTTATCCTAAATAATGATGCGAATTTTGGGCGGCTTCATATTAGCACGGATTAGAATAAAATCTAACGATTACTTTTATAGTAAAATCTATCAATTGCTTTTATAGTAAAATTTGACTATTATACCCCTCAGTTTATTTATAAAACCAAGGTAACATTATTTTTATTTTTTTAACTATCACCTCGGTTAAGGTTAAAAACCGAGGTGATAGTTATTATTATAATTTTTTTAATATTACATTGTCTACACATAATATTAAAATAAATTATTTACTACAAATCTCTTTAATGGTTTTTGTGCACTTGCAATCTATCATAAAGGTGTTAACGCTTGAATGTCAGAATTTTACATCCAAGGTTGATTGTTGATGTTATCATTATCACTGTCTTCACTAGCGTATACAATGTGCATGCTTTGAATACATCCAACTTCTAATAAGGTGTTTGTTCCAAAAATTAGAAAATATTTTTTCTGAACTTGCAATCCATCAATAAAGACTTTTATGAATAAATCATAGTTGTTCAAGACTTCCAACAACAACAACAACAACATTGTTTGAGATGGATTTCAAAAGTTAAAAAAATAATTTGTTCAAGGTAGAAGAATATTTTTTTCAGTTTTACAATCCATCCCCAAAAAATGATGCATTTGACAGTGGAACGACTACAAATAAGATAGCATTAGGGTTAAATATGTTCAACGAGTATTTTTATAGTAAAATTTGATTATGTTATCCCTCGAATTATCAAAGAAGCCGAAGGGTTAGATCATTTATTTTACACTTGTAAACAAATAAAAACATAAAATACAGTAGTTGAGATTCGAAGCATGTCCGAAATAGTATATCACCTCGATTTTTAAAATAACCAAGGGAACAAGTTGTTTTTTTAAAATAAAATAAAATATGGTGTGCCTTGGAATAAAACCTCGATTTTTTTTCTGGATGACAAGAAAGCTTCGTCGTGAAAAGTGTTATTCGTTGTAGTGTTATTACCTAACTTAGCTGCCATGTACGAAGAATTAGGAAAATATTTAGCCTTAAATACTTTGAAAACTAAGATATTCTGATTAGTCAACATATGCCAACCATGCTTCGCCACCATAGCCATATTGAAAGCTCTAAAATCACAAAACCCCAATACTCCCACCTTCTTTGGGTAGATCAGACTTTCCCAAACAAGTCATCCTTCTTTAGGTAGGTCAGACTTTCCCAAGAAAGTCATTTAATACCCTTGTTATTACTAACCCCCCCCCCCCCCAATAAGAGTTCAACATATTCTCTACGTCGTCCACCGTGATATTCAGTAAGAAAAACACATTTATAACATAAGCGGGAAAATATTTTGCACTTGCAATCTATCAGTAAAGACTTTTAGGAATAAATTATAGTTGTTCAAGACCTTCAACAACAACAACACTATTGTTTGAGATAGATTGCAAAAGTTAAAAAAATAATTTGTTCAAGGTAGAAGAACATTTTTTTCCAGTTTTACAATCCATCCCAAAAAAATTATACATTCGACGGTGGGGCGGCTACAAATGAGATAGCATTAGGGTGAAATTTGTTCAACGAGTGTTTTTATAGTAAAATCTAATTATTTTATCTCTCGGATTATCAAAGAAACTGAAGAGTTAGATAGTTTATTTTTCATTTGTAAATAAATAAAAACATAAAGTGCAGTAGTTGAAATTTGTAGCATGTCCTGAATGGTATATCACCTCGATTTTTAAAATAACCGAGGAAATAAGTTGTTTTTTTAAAAATAAAGTAAAATATGTCGCACCTTGGAATAAAACCTCAATTTTTTCTAGATGACAAGAAAGTTTCGTCCTAAAAAGTATTATTTGTTGTAGTTTTATTACCTAACTTAGCTGCCATGAACGAAGAATTAGAAAGAAAAAAATTAGCCTTAAATACTTTGGAAACTAAGGTATTCTGGCTAGTCATAATATGACAATCCTGCTTCACTACCATAGCCATATTGAAAGCTCTAAAATCACTAAATCCCAATACTCTCACCTTCTTTGGATAGTCATACTTTCCCAAGCAAATCATCCTTCTTTGGATAGGTCATATTTTCTCAAACAAGTCATCTAATACCCTTGTTATTACTAACTCCTAAAAAAATAAGAGTTCATCTTCTCTATATCGTCCACTGTGATAAGAAAAATACATAACATAAGCGGGAATAGTCTGAAGGATCGATTTGACCATAATATTTTTACCTACCTTAGAGACAGTTTTAAAATGTAAATTTTGGACATGTGACGTGAACTTTCTCAGGCACGTCCCACAAGGAGCACAACTATTGACCCTCTCAAAGTTCAAATTAAAGTCAGGCAACAAACAAATGATATTGAAGAGATTAGAAATTGATTAGGACTCTACAATCGAACATCAATGTCAACTGAATTGTATTACGAAACTATTCTTTGTATGTGTATATTTTAATTTTGATTTTTTAATTACATAGAACATGTTTAAATCAATTTAAAATAAGAGTTCATCTTCTCTGTGTGGTCCACCGTGATATTCGATAAGAAAAACACTTATAACATAAGTGAAAATAGTCTGAAGGATCGATTTGACCATAACTTTTTTATCTATCTTAGAGACAATTTTAAAACATAAATTTTAGACATGTGACGTGAATTTTCTCAGACACGTAACCCCACAAGGAGCACAACTATCAACCCCCTCAAAGTTCAAATTAAAGTCAACAAGGTAACAAACAAATGATATTGAAGAGATTAGAAATTGATTAGGACTCTACAATCCAACATCGATGTCAACTGAATTGTATTTACGAAACTATTCTTTGCATGTGTATATTTAATTTTGATTTTTAAGTACATAGAACATGTTTAAATCAATTTATAGGAGTTTATTTACTTATATAAAATTTTATAAAATTGTTTAGAAGAAATTATAATTACAACTTATGATATTTTTCAAAAACTATTTTTAATTATTCTTATAAATTTTTCTAAATATATCATAAAATAGTTTATATTTATACAAAAAAAATTAATATTTTTTTTATTATAATAAACATTTGTGTTATAAATCGTAAATAAGTGTTTATTTAAAGAACTTAGTGGTATTAATAAAGGTTTATTTGGAAGAAGAAAAAATAATAATAAATATTTATAACAAATCACATTTAAGAAGTTTTTCAAAATAAGCTAGTGAGTGATAATTGGATGAAAAGATTAAGAATGGCTCAAAGTTCACATACTCTCTTTAATAGTTTTGCAACTCCTATCAATTTTGAGCCCAAGTCAATCGATCCGAACAATGAGACCGTCATTTCTCCTTCTACAATAATAGTGTTTCTTATGCACCAATGTGAAACTTCAAATATGCCCCTAAGAATCGAAAATGCATTTCTGAAACAAACTAACATCTAATTAAAAACAACTAAAATAGGAAAAATATATTTCTGGTTTATAGCTTTCTGGCTTGATGAAGATTAGGCGGCGAAAATACATTTCCGGGGGCATTTTCGGGTTTTTATAGGGTTTTATTTCCCTATATAGGGTGCAATCAGAAATTCTCTAATATGTTTCATGTTGTGAAATTCTATTTCAACAGTTTAATCTTTACTAAGACAGTTTTGTCTCCAAGAGAAATGATCACTGAATCATCGAATCTCAATCTTCAGACATGTTTAATTTATTGGAATCAATTCTGTACCAATTTTAAGAGTATGAACCTGAGATGAATCTAAATCGTCATAACATAGTTTTTATGGTGACTCTTAAAGGTGTGTTTTATTGTTTGGATGGTGATGAAATCAAAAAAACAACCTGGTATGTCTGTTAATTTCTCTTTTTGTTGAAGTGATGCACGTATTTTTATATTGGTGTTTCATTATAAGATCTTATTGTTAATATACGTTAGTTGAAGAGTGTTGCAATAGATTGACTGTTAAATTCAATCCATAGTTTCATGGAAGAGAAGTTCATTACAATGGAAAATACTAAATCAATGTATGCACATGTTTGAGTCGTATCCAATTGATACAGAACATTTTACATATGTACAAGCTTTAAGTATACACCACAACTCAGGTAAAATATACTAACTGGTTAACGAGGAACATAAGAGTAACTTTGCAAACATTTTTCCAATCTGACAGCCACAGTAACTTGAAGCTAATGGCAGGATTCACATTTTCAATCATTGATCAAATTTGTATTTAGATTTACGAAATAAATGCCTTGACCAGTTCTGTGTAACTGCAAATTAAACCTGACCTTGGGCAGATGATAGTACCGTTATTCTTCTTAGCCATCTCTTCAAGAGCCTACAAGAAGCAAAAGTCAAAATAAGATTAGCCTCGTGTTATCCTTAAATGTAGAACATCTGGAATAACAGGATCGGTATAACAAATATAAGAGGGACCTTGGTGCTATAAACATATCCATTGGGCAGGACTTGTGGTGGGTTCTCCGTGTCCATTAGCTCCTTTGTTATGTAGCAAACAAGTTTTGAGTGATGCTGCTTAGAAAATGGTAATGGCAAGGCTAGTTTGCGAAAAGCTTCCTGTGATAGAGGGTCTTCTTTTGTGCAATCATCCTCGTAACAATATCTTTATCAAGTCAAGGAACATTTCTCAATAGATTAGCTGTGACAATGTGTACAGACAACCACAAGGTTGCAATAAAAGAAAACGTGCAAATTTATGAGCAAGAGGCTTGGAATTATCAGTATCAGCTATGAAATCTTCCACAACAGGTTTTAAAAAAGAGAGAAGCATAATGAGAGGAACCATACTTTAGATGCATTACTGGAATAATAGTAAAAGATCGGTAAGATGTTGAGAAGTGGCAAATAAAAATCAACTGAAGGAGCACCAGTTAAATATGTGACATTATGCCACAAAATAAACTATGGTTACCAAAGTAATTTCATTTCATTTTTTGGTGGGTTGTTTATATTGCATGTAAGCATGATAATAATACGTGACTAAAGAGTTTTTAGGTTAAAAAACTTCTTGCAGATAATAATCTATATTTATTATGGATACGGAGTTTTGAGAGCCGAAAGGCCAGCTTGCAGGTAGATATTGAGCAACGGCTCTAAAGTCATGCCATATAACTTGCAGAACTCCTGTTTGAATTGGTCTACTAGATAATCCCATTGCTTAGCTTCAAACAAGACCTGTAAATTATGCAAAAGAAAATTGCAAATATATCAGTGCTGAGACGGAAGTTACCAAGGAATAAACAATGCAATATGAAGCAAACATCTACTAAAGAACAAAAGCATCAGAATGCCGTGTCCAATCAACATGTTGATAGATTTCATTATAATTTGTAAATATAACAGGCATGAAGATTTACTTCTATTAAAAAATTATCATAGTAGAATAAAAATTTATGCAAATAAATTATTGTTTCTTATCTAATCAAACAAAGGAGGAACTGTGTTTTACAATGAAATAGGAGATGCACACTGCACGACACAAGTCATCTCAATTACTAAAACAGTTAACTTAAGCAAATACGATACAATTAACAGCTTAAGAGATATAAATAAGCTTGTTTAGTCAACTGATTTATAAACTAGAAAAACAAAACATAGTTACCATTGATATCAATTAGATAGCGTTATTAGTATATTGCTTGGTATTCCTCCACTTTTTCCTAGAAGAAAATTATAGATAATTGAAGAACTACACATTCTTCTACAATAAAATTCACAGTTTAACAAAATTCTGAATTTATCTGGCCCCTCAGAATTTTTCACTGTGCTGTCAATGAAGTTATTAAACTGTAAACCATGTCAAGAATCATTTATTCAATTTCTTAATCGTGAACTGTATGAAAAACAATGTGCTGTTTGAAAAGAAACAACAACCACCAAACCTTGTAGTGGGGTCGGCTACATGGATCAAATTACACCATAATGTTCTATCAAAGACAGTGTTTCTATCCAATTTGTTAATCTTGAGATCATTCTTAATAGCTTTTCTTATAGTTTTGCTATGTCTTCTTCTACTTCTAATTGTTTGACTACTCTTCATTTGATCTACTCTCCTTATAACAGAATCCACGGGTCTTCTTTCTACACGCCAAAGTATACACAATCCCATATCTAAACATGAACAGAATACTTGAAACTCTCATAAAAACTTAAATGACTAAGTACCATCACGCAGTTATTTATTCATTAGTACGTTCATAAGTTCTAATCTCAACATCGATAAACCTTTCGAGATTTGTGAATATTGAACTCTATAAAAACAAAAATTGTACTCAGTACTAGAAGATTCAAATAGCAGAGTTAGTTTACCACCTGACCTATTCATGTGAAAAAGCAGGCCTCTTTCACTCCAGATGAAAACAGAGCAAGAAAAGAAAAAGCAGAGTGATACTAAATTGCAGAAACATCTCTATCAATGATACAAAGTTACAATGACTTGTGCGACTTAGGCAACATTCAAAGACAACTGTGATTCAACAAATGATATGATCTACTGGTGCGTATGCTCTGTTTAGCTAGTGAGAGAACAATAAAAGAGAGAAATAAAAAGCGAGAGAGATAGAAAGATGTGAGAAAAAGAGTGGATTGTTGGTATTGTTGGGGTGTGATAAATAGAAAAGAAAGAGAAGAGAAATAAGAATTCAGTTGTCTTTCTCTCTCGCGTTGTTTAGTTAAATAAAAAGTGTGATGAGATAAATAGTGTCTTTAGAACAATAATACCCCTGCTCACTCCAACTTTTTCTACAGCAACTCATATCGATCATTGTTTCTCCTATGGTTATTGCTTTAAGGACAAAACCCTGGCTTAGAGCTTCACTTTTTGGTACCACACAGTTTATAAAATATTACTAATATTTAGACAACAATTTCATTGAATATTATCATCTGTATTTGTAGCATATCTCACGTGTTTTCCAGTCAACCAGGGTCACTTTTAAATATTTTATTCAAACAAGCAGCCAAGCTCAGTATCACGCATCTCTAACTGCGTTGAAAAAGCCAAGCTCCTGGTTAGAAAAACATGTTGACGTTATGAAGAAGGGCAAGTCGTGGATTACATATTAAACGAAAATGGAAAAAACTTTGGCTTCTCGCCACTGTTTCTTTGCACCTTGGTGGAGAAAGAAAAAGTGGTTCGATTTAACTTTTCAATTTCTCTCATTCACTAAACGAAATAGTTTCACTCTCTTTTTCCTAATTATCTCCCTTTTATGTCTTTCTTTCTACATTCTATGCATGCTAAACAAAGTGTTAGTATAAAATTGGAACTTATATAATGAATTGTGCCATTCAACAACTATGAATATAAATTCAATCATAAGAATGTTGCATTAAGAAAAATAAAATTAAAAAGACACCAGTATCATTAGTGTGCAAACACACAAAATAAACTACATTATCACCTTATATGTGGCACATCCGGTATCTCTTTTAAAAGCTAGTGTTGCAAGGACCCGCTGCAGTTCTTTCATGTGGGTGGCTCCCCATGGTGCAAGATACTTCTTAGCATATGCGATGGCTCTTAAATTGTTTTCAGCTCTTACCATTTCTATGAACTCTTGAAGTCTCAACTGGAACTCCAATTTGCTCTGTTAACAGTAAACTGCTCTCAATTAAGAACTGTAAAAAGTACGATGCCCAAATTATGCATCTGTTACCAACAACGAAATCACACAAGAATCCCTAGTGGTTAGGGATATTCAAGAAAGTCATGTTTTGCACCAATTTAAAAAAAAAAACAATTTTGAACCAGACTTGCAACATTTTTATTATTTTATATATTTATTTGGAACAACCACATACGGTGGTTATTTATTTCTCTTTTATATGAACATATATATATTCTATAGTTGCTGGATATCTGGGATGATCCTACAAATATTCTTATCGCCTTAACAGAAATTCATGTTTCCTAGACTTCAGAGCTAGATAAATCCAAAAAACTGGCCTATAAGTAAGAGGCAACAACCATTAATAAGCTCAGACAGTAGTATAAACCTTAGATTTCTTCAGTCTTGATTTGTTTTCAGCACACCATGCTAGGGCAGGTGCAGCATCCTTACTTTGCAAAGCATCAATAACCTTTTTTGCTTCTTGGAACACATCAATATCAACTAGCTCCTGATACACAAAAACCAAAAAATATTACTGTAATATCCAAAGCGAACAAAAACAACAGATATTGGCAGCAACAACAAATGGCCACCACATTCATTACCTGCAAGTTGCTGCATTCAGCCAGTCTCTCTGCAGTATCGTAATATGACATTCTCAACATGTAATCAACAAGAATCCGCTTCAAGCGAGTGTTATTCCATTCTGACATTTTTTCTGCATCTGCAGATTCCAAATGTTCGAGACGTGCACGACACTTCTGCGCTTGCAAATGCTCAGCTCGATTTCCTTCTTCCAACTTAACATATTTTCACAATTACAAAACATAATTAATCAAGAATGCAACTGAAATCATAACCACCCGCACTAACTACATTGCCACTACAATAAAACGAAACATCAAATTATTCACACAATTTTGCTTAAACTGAAACCTAGATCAAGATTCAAGAAATGCAAAACCAAAATTGAAATAATTGCCAAAACCGAAATCATGAAACATGTGATTTGTATGAAAAGATTAAAAAAAAAATCGGAATCAGAAAATTAGGTCAGTAGTTACTTTTCGTTTGAGTCCTTGGAGGCGGGAGACGAGAGAGCTAAGGTGATTGACGGCGTCGGCGGAGGACAGGTCGTTAGAGGCGGCATCGTTGACGCTGGAGATAACGGCGGACATCTCCTTCTCGACGACGCGGTTGTTGGTTCGGAGGGTTTTCTTGAAGTGCTCGAAAGGGACTCTGAGGAACTGATGCTCGAGCTTGAGAGACTCCGTGAGTCGGGGGAGGTTGGAGGAGGGAGCAGGCGTAGGGTTGACGGCGGCGGTGGCTTCGATTTGAGTTCCGGTGGCAGTGTTGTTTCCGTTCGAGGGAGTGGAATCCATTTCCATTGGGGAAGGAACCAAAAATGGAATCTCACAGATTGCAACTCGTAACTGGATAATTGCTTTTACAAAACTAGATCATTTTCTATATTTTCAATATTTTAATTTAATTTAGTCAAAATAAATATTTTAATTTAATTTAATTTTTTTAGCAAATTACAAATTTTTTGATTTTTTTAATAATAACCATATTTGAAAATTAAAATACATCAATAATTATATTTTTTTAAATTTACCCAAATAATCAAGTTTGAGAAATGCTTTAAGTGGATGCACCAGATGAGATGGCTACCAATTGTATCACCCCGTATATATATGTCTAGAATAATATGCAGTGATATTAAAATAGTATAACGAAAAGGATAAGAAATTAAATTGTATACATTACTGATCTGTCCTAATCAGACTTGGACCGTCACGGCTGGCTCCGAGCTGAAGTTTTGAACGAGGTGGGGGTACCTGTAAGGCACTCCGATGCTGAAGTAAGTAAGAGCACGAGCAGGCAATAGTAAGAGTATGGGTAAAAATGATGAATATCTGACCCTCTGGGAACAGAGGGTATTTATAGCCCCCAGCACTGGGCCAAGGTCCCTTCATTGGGCCGGGCAGGTTTGGCTCAATGAAAGAACTGCCAGGTTCTACGTGAGTAGTGGAGACCCGCACGTGGTCTCCTTCCTGGATGTGCTGCGTGAAGTGCGGGCGGACAAGGACGCGGTCTTTTCGGGATCTAGGTGAAGGTGCAGTGGACTGAGTCTGCCCTAGGAGGAGTGCTCGAGTTGAGGTCGAGCTGGACAGTATGAGGTCGAGCACGTAGCTCCAGTGAAGTACGTCGGGCATGACCGTGGTCCCTTAGTCAGCGTGACCCCCAGCAAGTCCGTTTGGATTGGGCTTTATCAATGCTTCTGGGTCAGCCCAGCCCAGTCCAGAACAATTACAATTTCAAATTTGAATGTATACAATAAGTTTATCTTTAACATTGCACATCAGAAATGATAACGTCTACAAGGTCTTCTTGCCTTTTGCTCGTCTGCAGTCTTCGAAATCGACCATCTAGCAATTCTATCACTTATAACATATTCCTGAAAAATAATAAGAGGATTGGAGTCAGATTACCATGTTAAAAATGAATGTATGCGTCATATGAAATGGCGTTTGTGTTCATGTAAAAACTGGCAAACCATCTCATATAGCGTCAATGTGTATTATGTATTTGTTTATTTAATTAATAATAAATAATTTCTAATTAAAACTAGAAAATTTAAAAAATTTATTTTAATACAACAATTACATTGTTGGAATAAACGTTACATATAATATAATTGTCATATCCTCTCCTAGTTCGTCCTCTACGAAGTTCTTGTTGTGGTTGGGTCGAAGGCCTTGTGAGATTAATGCGATCAGGGTCTGAAATTAATCAGATCAACATATCCTAAATACTCACTGTCAAATAGTCGGTTATCCATGTTCTCAAAGTTTGGTCGTGTTAGTAGGATATTTGGTTGGATGGGTGGTCGGTAGTACTGGTCATTTGAATAAGGGGTAAAAAGTAAATAAATCTTGAGGAGTTTGGTAGTCATATATGTGTTGAGTTTGTTGAATGTGTTAGGTGTTACGGTGATGTGATGGTTGCATGTATGTTGGGTTGGTTGGAGAATATTCCTCATGGTGGCCTAGGTCGGGGATAAGATGAGAAGTGGATGGATCCATCAGAGGTTGTTCGTTGTATGGTATATGTTCTTGGTATTGAGTTTGAATATGTGGCATGTGTTGGTCTTGGTACTGGTTATGGGGTTGGGTTGGGTGCTTGTGGATTGATATCGTCTTGGTGTTGGTTGACTGGTGGAAATATGTTGGATTTGTTGTTGAGTGGTGTATGTTTGTTGGTAATGTTGTTAGATATTTGATGATGACACGGCTCATGTGCGTGGGTCGATCAAATACCTCAGTGTATACAACAATGGATTTTCAATGGTAGCATAAGAGGATTATTATGAAGGAGAAATAGTTTGGCACAACGACCAAATGCGAAGGAAGAAAATGGGTCGTCTCAAAAGCAAGTGTATTATAACTGAAACGGATATGGATGACAAGGAAGAAAAAAGTACGGTATATGTCATCAAGTCAGACACACACAGAGAAATTGTCTCACTCATGCTACAAGTTCAACAACATAAAAAATGTACGCACACTATGTAATTTATTTTTTGAAATTAACTGAGTATTTTTATTAAGAGCATTGGTTACAACAAACTGAACGCAAACAAGACTAAAACAACAACACATACAACGATTAAAATTAATTAACACGTCAAATTATCTAAGAAATTACAAATGTCAAAACAATTTCATTTGATCCATGTATCCTCACCATTACGTATGTGTCAGTTTTGACATTCTCCCACCTACGTTGAGGTTTTTCGATCGCAAGTGATGTGGTTGTTCTTCGTCTCTGTATTCTTCTAATGGATTTGACATCTTTGATGTCCCCGTCTAACCATCAGATTGTCCCTCTCTTAAGACTCTCCATGGAATGGATGTGCCAAAATTTCAATTTAATCAAGGGTTTGATAGTCGAGAAAAAAACATCCATCTATTGTAAAAATCATGTTAAATGTCATGATGAAAAATTAGAGAGAAAATGAGATGAGAAAGTGTGAATAATAGTGGAGGAATGAGACATGTATTTATAGAAAACGCATTTACACCTAGGCGCCATATATGGCGCCTCCTAAGAAATTTTGAATGTATGTGTCATCTCATCTGACTTACAGGCTATGCATGTGTCATCTCATATGGCGCCTAGGTGTAATTTTAGATGTATGCGCCAGATGAGATGATGTGTCAACTTAAACCATTTTCCAAACCTAATTATTTGGATAATTTTTAAAAAAATATGGTCATTGGTGTATTTTAATTTTCAAACATGAGTATTGTCGAATTTTTTTTGAATTTTTCAATTTATTTAGGAAATAATATTTTGGAAGGATTACTAAAGGTTTCAAAATTTTGCAGGTATGATTCTCATACGAGGATATGAATCTTTGATAGGTGTTAAAAAATATATGTTTGGAATTAATTGAACAATGTTTATGAAATTCCACTTTCTATGCATCACTTTGTAAACAATATCGGTATTATAATCATATTTACCCGATGTAATATAGAAGGTCTGTCTTGGCGTATCGAAGAAGATATCGCACGTCATAAAGTATTTTAATATTTAAATAATATTATTTTAATTTTTAAACAATTTCTATTTTATTTAATTATATTTTATTTAATTAAGTTTTGGATTATTTCATTAGTGTTATTCTGTTTTATGTATTTAAAGACCTTTGGCATAACCATAAGAGTTATATTTTATATAATAAAATTTGGATTTTTCTTCGTTCTGATGGATTCCAATTTATCTTTGACAGATTTTGCGCTTGCAACCCTGTTTTCCTTTTCTAGATTTAGCACTTGTTATTCCCTTGGGCTTTCGACTGCGTCAGTTGGTATCAGAGCAGGTTTCTCCCGTTCTTTTCGAATCTTGACAACCATGACAGATCAACCGGCAATCAAAGTAGATCTTGCAGCTTTTACCGCAACTCTAACTGCATTGACTGAACATATGACAAATTTAGCAAATCAGGTGAACAACAACTATGTGAATCAGCGAAGAGACAATGGAAGAGAACATGTTAGGGTTCCACATGGTGGAAACAATCATCACATTGTTATTGCTGACAATTCAAATTTCGAGGAAGAAGAAAAAGACGAGGAAGAGGTCGTTGATCATGGAAATCAACATAATCATGATTGTCGAGTGAAGGCTGATATTATATTATTCTATGAAACGATGGGAGTGGAAGAATTTCTGGATTGGCAGATTGACGTCGACAGGTTCTTCGATATTATGGGTGTCCCTGATAACAAGCAAGTCAAGATGGTTGCAATCAGGCTTAAAAGTACTACAGTTGTCTAGTGGGATAAACTTGTTGTCCAAAGACAGAAGCAAATGAATGGGTCAGTCAAAACTTGGCGAAGAATGAAACAATTGATGATGGAGAGGTTTTTACCGGAGGATTATGAACACATTCTTTATAAGATGTACATCGAGTGTGTTCAGGACAAGAGAACTGTGATTGAATACACAACTGAGTTTCTGTCATTTTATAAGCGCTGTGAATTAGGAGAATCAGAGAGCCAGAAAGTGGCTCGATACATCAGTGGCCTAAAGGGATCCTTGTATGAGAATATGGATTTACAGACTGTATGAATTGTAGCTGAAGCATCCAGTCTAGATTTAAAGACATAATTAATAGAGAAATCCCTCGAAATTTCTCATCTTTTAGATATTCATTCCAGAATAACTTTGAATCAGCCGACGACAAGGAAAAGAGTGCAACAACTCAGGATTCCAACCCTGAGAATAAGGGGGCTAGCAACTCTAGCGGTGTGCAGCATGATAGAGCACCAATTCAAAGGCAGAATAATCCATATGCTAGACCCTCTATAGACACATGTTATCGTTGTAACGGAAGAGGCCACAAATCGAATATTTATCCGACAAGGAGAATCATTGTTGTTGTTGTGGAAGAAAGGGAGAAAGATAAAGAAAGAGAAGATCATGCATTTGAGAACGATGAATATGTCGGTATTGAGTTTGCATAAGAAGAATTTGATGAGAGGATAAATTTTGTGTTGCAAATAATGTTATTAGAATTTGTTTAAAACACATTGTTCTATCAAGAACAAGGTGTGTAATTTGATCGTGGATAGTGGCAGCATAGAGAATCTGGTCTCACATAAATTGGTAGATTATTTGAAGTTGTCCATAGAACCTCATAAGAAGCCATACACCCTCAGTTGGGTAAGTAAGGATCACAAATTTGAGTAACACTATCATGCAGAGTTCATATCTCCACCAGAAAGTATTATAGAGAAAAGGTACTTTGCGATGTTCTTCATATGGATGTTTGTCATGTTTTACTTGGCAGGCCTTGGCAATTTGATAATGATAT